GGATAATGAAGCCTAATCCACCCATTGAAAACAAAAAACTTGATGCCAGGCCTTCCATGATGTACTGACCGTTTACACGGTAAGGCATGAAAGCAACCTGGGAAGGAAAAGGAATACAAGAAATTGCTTTAATGACCATGAGTGTTTATGATAAGCTCATTTACCATTAAAAACAGAAAAAAGCGAACAAAAAAATTCTTATTTTTATTAAAAGTCATTTGGTTTCTGAGAAGCAGGAAAATGTTTTGCAGGCTTCAGAAAATGACCACAGTGGTCAAGCACCTGTGCATGTGTGAACGTAGCAATGACTAGGTGGCCTGCTTTCAGGGTGTCAGAACAAAGTAGTTTCACAAAAGTTACAAATAACTGCACAAGTCAGTTAGTCAGGGTGCTTCAGAAATGTATACCTTTTTGGGAAAAGTTCAAAACAGAATGGTAAATCAACAGGATACCCATATTTGGGTAAGCTTTGTGTCCAAAAGTGTTCCTTTTCCCTAATTTTCTTTCCTTTAACATATTTTTATGAATGATTCAATTTTTATTGCTTATTTGTCAAGACTGAGAGATTTTGTGCAGAATATTGGTTTTCAGGAGCCTAAAATTAATCCTCACACACATTTCCTATGTTTGACCACAGCGTCCAGGGCATGTACTAACCGGTTTACTATGACCAAACTCATCTGTTGTGCTTCCCACACTGGGTGGTTCCACAATCACATCATAGATGATACCTGGGAGACAACATCAAAGATCCATGAGAAGTTTTAAGGCACTTTACAATCAAATGTTAACAAATCTAGTCGTTTTTTTTTCATTCAGGATCATACATGCAAGGAAAAATAAAATAGATTTATACTATGTTGAAATCATTGGTTAAGGAATCAATAACAGATTTTGTCAATTAAATTAAATATGTCTCGTTATACTCGACATGTGGAAATGCACATTATCGCTAAGTGAATGATCATTCTCGATGCCTGTCCCAGGGCACTGTTTGATCATTAGTTCCGAGATACATTACATGTCACGCTTTTGAGTGCCACGTATCCCTTAGTTGGGACCGATCTACTTTAGTAAACAAACACAAACCCACATGTTATTTTCTTTCGCTTGCTATCAACATGCAGTTTGCAGGAAAGCTTAAAGTTAGAGGAGAATTCTGACTTTAGAATCTAAAATCATGATCGACTCTTATCTCTGATAATTTTTTTTTTTGCTTAGCTGGTTGGCTTGATTTTGGATCCTTTCGAGGTCGAGGCATGTAACAAGAAACTTATTCGGACAATTTACCTCCAGTGACCAAGAAATACGACAAGAGAACAAAGGCGAAGACCACCATAGCCGATGGTGGTTTTACCCATCCTGGCTTCTTCAACTTGAGGTTAGGGACTTCTAAAATGTGAAAGGGTATCCCATACAAAGCCTCCATTTTGAAAAGAAAGAAGAGAAGAGAGGGGGGTATGAAAACAAATTTGATTGGTCCAACGCTTTAAGTTATCATCCAATTATAGCTGGTGTTTTATTATGGTCTGCCTTGAAGCTGTCCGTGGTGACCTGAGAAAGAATTTAAATTCTGGGATCTCATTGGTCAATAATATTCAAACGCCGCTATTTTCAAATACAAATCTGCGGAAGCACGCACTTGGCCTTCATCTTGGGAACGCTTCGTAAAGGTTTGTCAACATCTCTCTTATAGTTGAATATCTAACTATCTTCTTTTTGCCACGATTTATCATTCATACCTTTTACGTAACTAAGGCTTGCAGTCAGTGGTCGTTATAGTTTTCATTTCAAATCAGGAGAACCTCCTTCGCCAATGATAAATGGCATTTAATTTTTTTCCGTTAACCATCGCCTTTTGTGGACTTTCGTTTCAGCCAGCCGAATTCCAACCGTAAACTCCGATTTCTCGATGTATAGGTTCACTCGTTAGAATTGAAGACCCTTTAAGCTATGCATGCAAGCTCGATAAGTATTATCCCTTCTGACAAAGTTATTCGCAACTACAGTTTAGGAATACAACTTTAGCACACATTGAAATGTAGATTTCAGATTTTTTAAAGTAGCATTTATTGACTGTTGCATCGATTTTGAAAATTTTGCTTTTTAACGGTATGTCTTTTGGAAAAATAGTATCCGCTCCGGCGATGGGGAGCTACACTGTAATTTGTCGCGCGCACGTTTTATGGCTGAAGTTCGAATATGCTGTAGATCACGCTGATACATACACTGCGTATGTTTGTGATCTACCACAGGGATGGCCGTTCAACAAGATTGCAAACACGCTGTAGCCGAAATCGATATTTACCGCACAATTTATTGCAGAGGCTGGCGAAAAGCGTTATACTTTCGGTCGAATTAAACCACTCTACGTGAAGTTACCCTTACTGTATGTGCACCACAAAAAAACAATTATTTGTGAAGTTGTTAGATGTTAGTTCACCCTAGATTTGACCTCTTTTTAGATTTTAAGTGATTGAAAAAAATTGATGCATGTGTAATTCCGTTTTAAGTATGTTTTTACTGATTTGTTATCTTGTTTTATAGGTAGGTTTCTCTGAATTCAGGGAATCGAAAACACAATTGAGAATGGGATCCAAAACTGACGAAATGAAGATGTCAGAATTTACCAAGATAGAAAAGATTGGGGAAGGTAATGAAACAGCTGTTTGATGAAAGAAGTTTAAACGGGAGTTACAAAATGATGCTTAAAGAAAACTTTTTTGCTTATCTAGCTTTATTGTGGCTAAGATGTGACTTTTAAACTTATTGAGGGGTTTTGGTATGCTTTTCTGTAGCCTGATCTGGAGAAGCATCAAGTTAGCCAAATAATACGCTCAGGGCTTGAATTCTTGTCCTGATTCCATGTGTTGCAATTACAACATTGTAATCACTGATCTACATGTAGACGTGATCCACCTCAAAGGAAAGCACTCTTTTTGATAGCAACATATGAGATTTAAGTTTTTTTATATCGCAGTTGTCATTTTGAAATTTACCTTGCATGCAAACTCTGTCATTATAGGCACATATGGTGTTGTGTACAAAGGCCGCAATAACAGGAATAACAAGCTGGTTGCATTGAAGAAAATTAGACTTGAGCTAGCTGATGAAGGAATTCCAAGCACAGCAGTGCGTGAAATTTCATTGTTAAAGGAACTGAATGGACACCCCAATGTTGTCAATCTAGAAAATGTTCTACATGAAGATTCTAAACTATATTTGGTGTTTGAATTTCTACTGTGTGATCTTAAGAAGCACCTGGACTCAACAAAAGGATCGCTAGACCATATGTTAATCAAGGTATGCTTATGATAGTTTTCAGTACCAAATATGCATGTATCATTCAGCTGAAACTGACAATTGTTGTTTCACTAATAGAGGCAATGGGCCTTCAGTGCATTCTTAGATGGCCTTTATATGAGTACAAGTGCATAAGAGTTCCCAAAATAAAGTTAACAACATCAGTAGGGACTTTATTTATTGGTAATATTTACCCATGCTGGCCAGTTCAGTCACAAGCTGGTTTGAATGGTGCCAGTGCTGGATGATGGTAGCATTCAAGTCAACATTGCTGAAGTCAAATTAATTTCAAGTTTTTGTCTGTAAAGATGATGGTCAAATTACAACTTGCAATAGCAGAAAATGAAAAATTCAAAATTTTATTGGGTGCAATGATGAAACCAATGAAAATAATTTTCTAAGATAGAATGTATGATAAGAGAGAACAAATGAGTGATCTAAAGTGCAACTTGTGTTATTTTTCTAATATTGTGAAATGTTGGACTGGTGAGGTGACTTGATTTACAGGAGTGTACCGGTACATTGAAGAATAAAGACATTTGATGTGACATATGTAAAATAAATTAATATCTTATGTTGATTTTCCTACAGAGCTACCTTTACCAAATCACAAATGCCCTTTACTTTTGCCACAGTCGCCGAATCTTGCATCGTGATCTGAAACCCCAGAACCTTTTGATTGATGAGCATGGGCTCATCAAGTTAGCTGATTTTGGCCTTGGGAGGGGGTTTGGAATCCCTGTAAGAGCTTACACTCATGAGGTAGGAATAGTCAACTTTGTATGTAATCTTGCAGTTGTTGTCTTTGGAGCACAGACTTCATGTACATGTACTAGAGAAAAACAACACAATTTCAACCCCTTTAGAAAATCATCATAAAAATGGGGTTTTCTGAACCCATAGAACTCAAGCAGCCAGTTATTTACACAAGGTCTAACCCAAATCATGGTTTTACGTTAACCCTTCAACTCCCAGATCAAATTTTTCATTCACCTTACTGTCAACTACACAATTTATATGATGTTAGTTCAGAGAATTTAGTATTGGATTAACTAATTATCCCCAAATTGATATTTTTCTTTATTCTTATCACTTATCTGGTTGATATTGTGTTGATATTGTAAGGAGAAATTCTGTCTTGGTCACTCGTGGGAGTTAAAGGGTTAACAGTTGACCTCAGTGATTCTCTTCTAAAACAATTGTCCTTCCACTGTTAGCTTTTGGCCCTCTTGATGCTGTTTGCTGAAGGCAGTTTAATCAAATAACAGCTATACTTTGATAAAATAACCTATTCAATAAGTTTTTGTTTAGAATGTTTTTGTAATAATGTTTATGTTAAATTTAACTTTTGGTAAGTTTTTAGTACAAAATAAGTAGATAAATAAAAAAAAACAGTGCAAAAAGGACTAATTGACTTCAAAACCTTCTGCTGGTTTTTTAATAACTTGGAGATAATTCACCTTTCCCCTGGGCAGGATATGTTGAAAATTTACTTGATGGGTACAAATCATATTTCTTCTTATCCCAGACAATGATATGAGGCATTTGTCATCTAAAGTTCAACTGTAGCATTTATGCCTTCTCTATGCTTACCTTACAAACCATTGCTGACCATCTCTGTTTATTTTGAACCCTGTCTTGGCCAACTTTTTACCAAAATGTATATTAAAATATAGACTGGTCTCAAAGTGGTATTCATTTGAATTTATGTTTTCAAGAGTTTTTGCAATTTGCTGTGCATGGTGAACATAGTTATTTATGAATTTTTTTCTTTTGTTGAAAAATTAGCTTAAAATATTATTTTTTATGTCAGGTGGTAACTCTGTGGTATCGTGCACCTGAGGTTCTCCTGGGAGGCCAGCGGTATGCATGTCCAATCGACATCTGGAGTGTAGGATGTATATTTGCAGAGATGGTTACAAAGAAACCATTGTTTCATGGTGATTCAGAAATTGATCAACTTTTCCGTATTTTCAGGTTTGTATGCTGTTCACTGAAATCCATTATTTAAATTCCCCAACCTCTACCTGCATGATACTCTGCTACAAAATTGGCTCCTTCACTCAAAGGCTTCACAGAATCAGAATCACTCAAGAACACTGAGAAAAGTTTCAACTGTTGACAAGACAGGCTTTCATCATGCTTAATTCATAGTTACCATATGGTTATACCACCTGTATTTTTATGTATCATATACTATAAGTACACATATTTTCTGAGGCTAAAAACAACAGCTGCATTACAAACACTGTGCCACCAGAAAAGATTTGACCTAAATGCACCAGTCTATAGTTTGCATGTTATTCTAAATGGTCTCTTACATTACTATGATGGCCAGCATGAGTGTAGCTGTTCCTAAATTGTTCTGAGCCCTGTCATTCTTACAGACTCTGTCACTTGTTTCATAAAGAATCCTAGGTACACCAACAGAGCAAAACTGGCCTGGAGTATTACAACTTCCTGATTACAAACCAAACTTTCCTAAATGGAGTGGAGAAGGACTGAGGAAAGTAGTACCACAGTTGGATAATAATGGGCTTGATCTTTTAGAGGTACATCTTCCTTATTACTTTGGCTTTCTTAATTCTGCCTGTTTAGGGAAGAAAGTAGTAAACTTTCAGTGTAAGCTTATTTTTGTTGCTAAAAAATACATGCTAATAGAATGTGCAATACAGCTTATTATAATGAGGCTTTGCCAATGCAAGGAGGTGAGGTATCAATTGTGTCTTCAATAGCTTTTTTCACAAGTTGGCTACAAGTCTTATTTATGAAATCTCAAAAGGCAAAAGGCCTTAAAAACCCCCATTAGACCACTGATAACACAGTCTTAAAGTTTACTTTTAAAGCCAGAGTGTTTATTTTCCTTTTTTGATTTAGAAAATGCTCAAATATGATCCTGCTAAAAGAATATCAGCCAAAGCAGCTTTGGATCATCCTTACTTCAATGACTTGGACTTGTCAACCCTTCCTGCCACCAAAGAAATGACAATGAATGGAATGATGTTTTAGAACAGAGCTTTACACTTTCTATAAATCACACTCTTAGTATTCTTTTTTGCATAATGTAAAGAACTCAAAATTTTCTCAGCCAATTAATCAGCCTTTTTGTTATCTGTAGACATAAGTGCTAAAACTGATCAGAAAATGACACATATGTTACATTTCATGTATTTTTAAAAGGGAATTGTTTCACTTTATTACTGATTAATGTTAATTTAATGGCTCTAAGAGCCTGTGCTTCACAATCTCATTACAAGACAAAGTAACTTTCTAAATACAATCAGTCCTGGAGAGGTACTTAGTTCAATGTACATAAATATTAAATCAACTTCTTTTGTTTTCCATTCCTTGAACTTGAACCACATTTCTCAATGATCATGTTAAATCTTTTCTAATAGCCTTGAAATTTGCTTTGTTTTAAAACACTCAATAACAGCTGCTTTATAAATATTTTTGTTGCTATAATTTGTATATACTGTATTTACTTTGCAAATTTTACATTTAATTAGAAGGATTAAAGACAAAATATCCATATTAAGTTTAAGTAAGAGGCAAATTGGAGGAACTCTATCAGATCTCTGAGTGCAACAATGCAATAACTCCCTCAGATAAACACCATGAGGATGAGGGTAACTTGCAGCTTGATACATTTTCCTATTCAGAGTTACAGAAATTTTTCTTTTAGTTGTCTAGTGTAAATAGTTGCCATTTGCCTAATATCTTTAAAAATATCAAGAATGTTACCTTCAATTTTTAATTACCTCTCCTGTGCTAGCTTTGATGTACTGTTTTTGTATTGCAGTTCACTATTACTGAAAGTGTACTTACTGATACTTTTTTCCAACACTCAGATTATAATAAAAAAATTTATAAAACGAAACTCTGCGACAATTATTGAAATAAATTGTGTTATTGGAGGTCAGCTAGGTCAGATCTCTAGTAAAACACTGAGTTATGAGATCGAAAATGTAGGGACTCTCACCTAACAATTTCAATATCACGTAGCTAACACGTGTCACAAACATGCCGTGAAGCTATTGGATTAGCAAAAGCTAGCAACTCATCATCTCCCAAGGAGTCACCAAAAGTGTACGATGATTCTCCGGTTTTTGTTGCGTAGTGAGAAGGAATGGAAAGACTTAGAGATGGCGAGTTTGATTCTTGGTTTTAGTTTTATCACTATTCTATTTGTCACTGGAAATGTTCTTATGAGCATTTGATTATTTTTCATGGAAATACGCAATATAGATATTAATTAATATTATTATTATTATTATTATTATTATTATTATTATTATTATAATAAATGTGTCATAGTGTCGGGTAGTTTTACCTCCATGCCTGCCTATCTTACAACAAGGCAAGATATCACTGAGAGTTATTTTCATTTGGGAATGCATTACAAAGAAATCTTGCTTCTTATCGATTTAACCCACGGGTTTTACTTTAGTATGCGCCAATTGAAGAGAATTTTAAAGTCTCGTGGTCTTGGGCGACGGAAAAATCGTAGTAGTCTCCGAGAGGTTGGTGGATGCATAAAGATGGAATTGTGTGGCAGCGGAAAAACGATAAATGACCCAAAGACTCTCACGGGTCTACGGCCTTTGTGTTGACAAAGATACTCTCAGGAACCTCCTAAAAATTCTTGATCCTGACGGTGTAGACATAAATTTCCCTTGTGGACTCATCTTGCGAATACAATAACATTGCCATGAAGGAACAATATTTTGTTGTCAGTAATATGTTCGTTATTATAGTTTGAACGAGAAAGGGAATCTGAAAAGCAGTGTCATAAAAGTGAGAGTGTCCTACTGGGGCCAAACATTATACATACATTTTTTTTTAACTGGGACAACTAAATGTAAACTAGAAGAACAAGTAAAGAGCAATGTTCATTTCCCAGAATTCATTGTCGATGATGCTGTTCATTTCTTGTCTCAAGTCTGCAAAGTTTTAGTATGTTGAGGGCAACTCTAAAGATACCGATGGTGCCCACGCATGAGCAGTGGGACGCCTCTCAAAGCCATCTAGACTAGTGAAAGTAACCTTAATTTTGTCCAAACATATGGTGTCAGTCTTTCAATATCTAGATCTCTCAGGTAATTTTTAAAGTAGAATATGACATTTTCTCCAGGCAACATTTTGCCGTTGTGGGATAACTTCAAGGAGATCGATCACCTCATCAGTTTTGTTTGTTGGAATGGCTCTAGTTAATAAATTTATAAGTTTTTCGTGGAGTTAAGGGTGGCTGTCTTCAATTTACGTTATGGCTCATTTCATGTCAATAATGTATTGACAAGCTTGTATTCGCTCTTTGTGAGCGATTTCTAAAATTGTATCCCTGCTCAGGCTTTGGAGCTCGCTTATATTCGAATCTATATAAGAAATCAAGCCACTCGTCATTGTGTTCATCTTCCAAAGAACCGTTAATTTAAAGCATGCACAACCAAAGCCCTTTTATCCCTTGACAAATAGGCTAAGAAAGAATCGAGTAGCACTTGCTGTGTCACCTCGCTTTCCCCAAAAAGTGTAGCAATCAGGAATGCCCTATTTAACTTTACAATTCAAGGAGTCTAGCTATGGCTTCTCTCTCTGGAGTTTGAAAGTCATGTCGTTTATCTTCTCCAACTGTGCAGGAATTCTCAAATGCTGTCTAGAACGCTGACAGTGCGTCCCTGAAAACTCCATTTTCATCTGCTCCGACTTCTTCTTGGCCGTGTGCATGTGCACTTTTAGTTGAGCTGCCATAAGTGATGGATCCTTAAACACTTCAATCATATCAGACACAACCTGCACCCTCCGAATTCTGACGAGTCTATGCAATAAGAAAGCATGAAATGAATAATTACTAATTAGTTAAAAAGGTGAAGGAGCATACGAGCCAAGGAGGCCCATGCAGCTGGAGCTTAACCTGATTTCTGTAGTATGAAGCACCTAGCAGCACTTTAGATGGGACGTTAGTACACATAAGTAAAACGTGACTGTTATTGACTGATTACAATGCGTGTCTTCAAGAAAAGGCAGAGCAGAAAAAATTATTTTACATAATTCTCTTCTCTCATTTGTTTTCTTGATTTCAAGTTGGATTATTTTCAAATGCAAACCCAAAATACTGTCGTAGATGATACTAATATCATTTAAATTTCTTAAAGAATACAAATCTAAGAACATCATGCGGTTCCCCTATTAGCTGGAACATTGCTCCCTCATTACCGTCTTCACCTTACTTCCACAATGCATTGCTTGTTATCTAACCGCTTACGATGTTGAAAAGAATCCATTTATGTATTTTTATTGAGAATTTGACCGTATTTATTTATTCTTAAGAGCCGTCGTAAATGCTCCTATACAAACTCTTATAATTTCGCCATGACTTAATCATCTCCCACCTGAAGCTTGGGCCGATTGTGCTTAAGTCGGTCATGTTTCCCCTTCGTGCAGGAATGAGCCTGTGACGAGTAAGACCAGCGGTTGAAAAAGTCGAGAAAAAAGTTAGGGAAAAAGTCGCGAAAGAAGCAAGAAATTCGAGCGCGAGGAAAAAAAATCGAGCGCGAGGAAAAAAAATTGAGCGCGAATTTCGGTCAATGCAAGTCGTCTTACTAATTCTCTATAGGACGTTTCGTGAATCTTACACACCCGAATGAACGTGAGACTTCTAATATTAATAGATCAGCAGCTCATCATCATCTTCTAAAGGATTACTAGCAATGACTTTCCATTTTCACATATTAAGTTATTAACAGGGATTCAAGCAGCCATGGAGTCAACCATACCAATCATCGACTTAAGCGCCATGTGTTTGGGGAAAACAGCTGAATCGTCCACCGCATTAGAAATCAGACAGCTCGCAGATGAAATATACAGGGCTTTCTGTACGGTTGGATTCGTTTATATTAAAAACCACGGTATTCCACGGGAAAAGGTAAGGATCTCATTCTTAGGTTTAGTTCTTTTGAACAGAAATTAAATTATTTGGAAAGATTCACCTCTCCTCAAGGAAGAATTAATAAGTTCTGATTCTTCGTCTTTAGAGAAGAATTACAATTCTGAAGGAGAAATCTGGGCTCATGTGTGGTGTAAAATGCATATGTCACAAATTGTATCGTCAATCAAATGGATTTGTGGTTCTTTAGGGTCTTGGGGTTTTTTGGGCCTCAGGGTCTCTTAGAGTCTGTTGGTCTTTAGCTCTCTAGGTCTGTAGGTCTCTAGGTTTATGGGTCCCTGGGCCTTTGGGTCTCTAGTAGGGTCTTTAGGTCTCTGGAATCTCTGGGTCTCTATTTCTCTATGGGTCTATGGGTGTTCTAGCGGCTTCCCAGTCTCTCTGTCTCTGTCTTTCTTCCAGGCCTGGTTTACGAACACTAATGTTTTAATCCCTGGAAAAAACTTAAACATAGTGAAACTCTTTATCGGCTCTCCAAGCTGTTCAATCAAGTCATTCATTATGTTAGTCATCAAATTTATGAATGCAGAAAAGGTTTGCAAAAACACTTAAAGTTACTTTGATCATTGCAGTAATGGAAAGTTGTCATTTGCTCTTTAGAAAAAAGAATATGAAATTTAACATAAAATCCAGGTGCAAAACGTGGCTTTGTTATCCAACTTTAATTTTAAGTATTCCCAGTGTAGGGTCAATGTAAAAGGAGGCTTATGAATCAAAATGAGTGTAATCAATGCAAACTTATATTGAGAATCAGTTTAGTTAAACGCTTTTTTACCAGCTGCAAAGAAAAAGAACTGAACTGATGTAATCAAGGCTAGTACAAAGCATGTACTGCTCTCAACAAACTCTCTAATTTTATTGTTTTTTTTTTAGGATAAGAACAAGCATCTAAATATCCTCCTTAAAACTTCCATATTTTATTTTTGACAATAAAAGATGTCATAATTAGATTGGTTTTGTAGGAGCTTTAAAATTTTATCTCAAAGGTTAGAATTGGAAATGTAAATGCGATGGAATGTGTCACGAGGTTATTTTAACCATTAATTCAGTACTTTTTTTGTAAATGAAATATCTACAAGATTTGAGGGCAGCACCTACATTAAAAAGACAAAAGTGACATGGATGGCAAAATCACCAGAAAGACAATTTAACAGGTTGTGCACTTATAATATATTGCTGAATTTGAGTTGGTTAGTCATTGCTAGAGGAAAGGTAATTTTTTTACTAAAACAAATATGGTGTTTTCAACCGGGTTTTCCATGGCTAATGTAAAATTCAACATGCAAAGGGAAAAATGTACAATCAAGACAAGTACATTAAATTTTTTTGAGATCCATACCCAAACTTGGTTTGTCTTAACATAAAAATGCACAGTCTAAAATTACCAACTACTCAAGGAGAAATATGCAGGACCAGCCAGTGGTTGTGGTCATGGATGGGTGGTGTTTGAGAGAGAAAAGTAAAGGTGTTTCTCAAACTCTTTTTTGGTGATACAATGTGGCATGAAGAATTTTTTTCTTGTTTCCTAGATTTATGCAAAATTCAAGAAATTAATGAATTACAGAGGAATAACTGTATTTTAAATAAATGAACAAATTAAAGCTTTCATGTGGCACCATAATATGCTCAAAGACTTGTTTGCAGACATTATCTGTTCCAAGCAGACGGTTTCCCAGAAAACAAAAATGATGGCAAAATCACCAGAGAGAAATTCAACAGGTTATGCACTTGCAATATTGTCGATTTTGAGTTGGTTGGTCATGGCATGAGGAAAAGTAATGTTTCTACTACAACAAATATTGCTTTTTCAACAGGGTTTTCCATGGCTAATGTAAAATTCAACATGCAAAGAAAGATGTACAATCAATACCAGTACATTTTAATTTATATGAGATCCATACCCAAACTTGGTTTGTCTTAACATAAAATTACAGTCTAAAATGACCAACTACCTAAAGGAGACAGAAGCAGATGAAAAAACATGAACAGTTCTGCCTTCAGATAACAATAGTCCAAATAGGACTGACTACCCCGGCAAGAGATTACGAAAGAGGCATTAACCTTTTTCAGAGGGTACTTAAAATTAAAGTTGGATATTTTGTAGGGGTGTTTCATGCCCTGATTTTCTTTTTTTGTATTCAATTTCCAAAGAACAAATGACACAAGATTGCATTACTATTGTGATCAAAGTAATGTCAGGTGGTTATACAAATGATAAAAATAAATGCATAATAAAATAAATTATAAGATCAACAAAATGAATGACATGAATGAACAGAGAGCGAGAGAGAAAAGTATTTTGCAATGTTAACATTTCTGGAGGGGATTGCATCATCATTGTAATTATGTAATCCAAGAAACTCAAAGACATGTATTTCACATTCTTGTTTGGAAGAATACATTTTTTTCCCCAAGAAAATACATTCTTTGGTTAAGATCCAGTGAATAAGGTATTCCTCTGAGATGAAACACTATTCTCCTCTTAAGATAATAATACCTTTCATGATAATACTTATGTTATATTTTAAGTAAGCTTACGAGAACAATTACATTTCTTCCTGTAGACCCAATATTTGTTTTCAAGAGAAGAATGTCAATTTTGAGTCTTCTCAAATAAGTTTTGTCTTTCACCCAAGAATGATTATTGGTTTTTTGATTGCTCCTTAGCTTGCTGTTTTGAACATTCACATTCAAAAGGATTCTTGATGTAAAAATCTTGTTTGTGCTCTTCTGAATACTGATTATTCTACTGAGCAGAATCTCATGCTTTTAATAGGTTTTGTTGAATTATTGAAAGGATTGTTTTTCTGGCTTTACACTGAGAAGGATCCCATTTTATGTGGTTTTATTTTTTGACAAATCATTAACATGACATAGAATGAATTTAAATATTCGTGATGTATAGATAAAATTATCAATGAGGAATGATATCAACATTCATGATCTTATTACACAAAGTAGCGCACATGTTTTTTGAGAAACTATTTTTCCATTATATAGGCTCAGTTGGTATTTTTTGCAGATTGACAAAGTTTTCAAGTTATGTGATGAGTTTTTCCAACTGGATCCTACTGTGAAGCAGAAATATGCGAGACCGGCCAGTGGTAGTGGTCATGGATGGGTGGCATTTGAGAGAGAAAAGTAAGGTGTTTCTCAAATTTTTACAACGTGGCATGAAAAATGTCTTCTCTCATTTTCAAGATTTATGCAAAATTCAAGAGATCAATGAATTACTGAGTATTAACTGTATTTTGATAAATTAACATAAATTAAAGCTTTCATGTGGCACCAAAATATGCTCAAGTATTTGTCTGCAGACATAATCTGTTCCGACAAGCAGACAGTTTCCCAGATGGAAGCTCTACTAGGAAAACTGAGTTTTACCCTTCAAGGTGTGAGCTGAAATATGTTTTCAAGTTTACTCAATGAATGCAAGTACATTTCTGCCTTTTGTCTGTTATCAGAGTTAGTCCAGACAGACCTGCTGATCACAAGGAAGCCTTTAACATAACAGAGCCTCAAACTCATCAGCGTGTAAGGCCATCTCTTTTTTTTAAATAGATAGAAATTTGTATGTATAGATATAGATAATCAAGTGATTTTAAATATAATTTGAAATATCTGAGCGCGAAAGCATTTTTTAACAACTGAAAACTTTCTCAAGCCTGTCCAAGTGAAAGAAAATTGCAATCTTATATATTCCAAATTGCACAAGAAATATTTAATTACTTGAACAGATATCGTTCTAATTTCAACTCAGTGCCTTCAATCAGTTTTGTACTGAGCATCTGCCGGATGTAGTTGGTTTTTCATCAAGTTATCATTCATGTTCAAATAGTTACAAATGAAGACATTAGCTAAGGGAAAAGATGAATGATGTGTTATCCTTTAACCCTTTAATACCATGATTGACCAAGACAGAATTTCTCCGTACAATATCAAGACAATCTTGAGGCAGACAAGGGATGAGAAAAAAGAAAAATATCAATAAGGGGATTATTAGTTGATCCAATACCAAATTCTCCAAACTAACATCACAACAACTGTATGGTAGACAGTAAGGAGAATTACTAATGAGATCTTGGTAGTTAAAGGGTTAAGATGTCACCATATATACCAGATGCCACTTCATATCATAACTCAGTGTATTATAATTGCTCTTTGACTATTCACTCTGATTACCTTACAAATCTTTGCATTCTTTGACCTATATTATAGGCATGGCCAGATGATGAAGTACCAAATTTCCAAAATGAGATTGCCTCCTTCTTCGATATCTGTGTTGACCTGTCTTTGAAAATCCTTCACATCATGGCACTTGGGCTGCAACTTGAGGTGCTACAGACTGTAATACTGTGAAAATGTGCTGAAATGTCTTAATTGAAACAGGGTATCAGGCCTACAACTAAGACTGTGGATTTTTAAGGGACACAATCTTAATTTCTGAAAATGGAAGAGCAACCAGGGTTAAAATTAATGAATGGGTAAAAAGTCATTTGAGATATAAACTCTTGGATAATCAACATTTGTGATCATTACTATTTTTTCATATTTGAAGGAAAATGTAAGTCATTGTACATTCAGCTCAACAGCAAAAAACATAAATGTTTTCATCAGTTAAACTTGTTTTTGAATATGGCCTCCCTCTTAATAACCCTTTAACTCTCAGAAGTGAATAACATGTAATTTCTCCCTATAATATCTGTACATTATCCAGTGAGCAGGGAGTGAGAATACTCAAACTTATCAGATTGAAGTTGTTATCTTGATTTAACACCAAATTCTCCCAACAAATTTACAAGGAAATGTGTAGCTGCCAGATGGGAGAATTGATTATTAGATCTTGGGAGTAAAAGGGTAAGGTACATAAGAAAAAATTCTGCAATTTTTTTTTTTCGTAGGATCCAGATGTTTTTACAAACACTCACAAGATAATGGCCAGTTCTAAGAACTGCACCACCTTACGACTGTTACACTACCCATGCCTTCCTGATGACAAGATAATTAAACCAGGACAAATCCGCTGTGGAGAACACACTGATTATGGATCAATCACTCTCCTCTTTCAAGATAACATGCCGGGACTTGAGGTATCATGACTATTACTTCTTATACCTTGAAGGGTCCTTTCATTAAAGCTAATCAGCTCTTTGCCAAAATGATTCTCCCTTGTTGCAGTATATCTCTTGCAAAGACTACAAGTGCTTACCATTTATAATGTTAATAGGACTGAGTGGAGTCCAATTTGGTCTGTAATCATACGAGCGACGAACAAAATCGGACAACTCCACTCAGCCCCATGATCAATTAATCAAAACTATGGCAAAATTTGAGAAAGAAACTAAACATCGATTATACAATTTCATAAAAAAAGCAACAGATACTCGGCAAAATGCACGACAACAGCAAGCGCACATGACGCAAAACGTCCACTTCTACAGGCAAGACGTGCACACGGTCCTATTAGTGATTAAATCGGGTAGGTGATAACCAATAACGTTAGAGAATTTTGTTATAGTTTTGATTAACCCAGGGAATACCTGGTTGAATCAAAAGTCAATCATGAAATGTTTACACATGAAATTTTCAAACCCTGTGTGGCTCATGGAAATGTCAAGTACCCTGATTTTAAATTAATTTATCTCCTTTTGGCAGGTCTTACCTCTTGGATGTTCAGAGTATGTACCTGCCCCTCCCCTCCCAGGAGCAATAGTGGTCAATGTAGCAGACCTCATGCAGAGGTGGACTGGTGACCGGCTGAAGTCAACGGTAAGGAGATACCTGCTGATACAGAAACCTGTTGATATTACCACCATTGTGGCCGCATAAAAGGGGTGGGATTGTGTAAAAAATACTGAGTTTTCTAAAGAGAATGGTTTTACCTAGACTTGCAATACTTCTGCCTTCAGTAGAATGGAGAAAATTATGTAAACTTTTTGAAGCAGATCTATTACACGATTGTGATTGTAGGGATAAATTCCTATTCCTCATGTGGCTAATCGTATTAATGAGGTGACGTTATGAAGGAAAATAACGATGGGGGTATCCAGAAGGTGGCTATTGGTCATAACATCTGCCCACACCCCTAAAGAAGGTGGTAGAGGAACACTTCAAAGTTAAAATAAGTTTCTTCCTACTTTTCCATGTCTCCTTTTCCTTGTGGTTTCTTTTTTTCAGCGCCATCGAGTTTCCATTCCATCAGAAGAGTGTCACCGGCGCGTTCCGAGACGTTCTTTAGCCTTTTTTGTCCACCCCGATGACGACACGGTGATTGAATGTCTTGATGGATCTCAGAAGTATCCTCCAATAACGGCCTATGATTACCTATGGCAACGGCTCAAAGCGACTTACGAATACTGAAATAGTTCACAAGATTTTGGATACCAGGAGGTGATTGAAACCAGTAACTGATTGTGTTCGTCATGTCAGGTTCGATTTGTAGAAGACTGAAGCATACCGGCAATAGAGAAAGGAGTGGCGTAATTTGGTCATTTGGAGAAAGCAGTTTAGCTCTTTATCAGAATTAAGCATTTCATACAGTATCGCTCTTCTCACCGTGAATCTGTGACGATACTGAAATCGCTGGTTTTTGTGGCTGGCCTAATGGTTTGCTGGCTGAATTCAAGATCGAAAGTTTCGGGCTCGAGTCAGGATCATCTTGCTTCTCTTCCTCAGGGGTATACGGGTTTCTTTTACCGAAGACGCGTTGCTCCAGATACGATTGTAAGAAGAAGATGAATATGTGTCAAAGGCACGAACAGCGATGATTTAAATAGGATTGTCTGGGCTTACGATCGGTTCATAACATAAAAATAAGGTAGAGCGCCTAGTGCTAGCACACACAGGTTAAGCCTTGGTCAATGAGGTTCAGTATTTCATGAAACAGCGCAACATCTCGACACTTGTCCCTCATTTTTCCTGGCGAAACCGAATGATGAACTCGGGTACTTTCGAAGCATAATTTACATTCAGTGTAGTAGGTGATGTGTGTGCTGCACATTTTGTCAGACTGAAGTGCTTTTTAATGCTTGTCAAATTCTTTCTATTGTATTCCGTCCTCCAACTACTAGAAGTGTCCTCTGATGAGTGTCTAAGAACCAAAAGGAAACGCTCAATCAGTACCGTGACAAATTAAATTGTTACACTGAGATACTCGTGATTACTATATATAGCTACATGCAAACTGCTTTAAGTGCGGGAGATGCGAGTGACCAATTCATGATTGATTTTAATTTTTCCCTCAAATTGGCCAAGGATCAATAATAGACCCACACTGTACGTAGATGGGTAAGTTGAAGATATACATTGATATGTTTTGGCACAACTTACCAAAAACCCAGGTTTCTAACCCTTTTTGAAACCGCTCCAGATAAAGCTGAATGTTACCGCTTCCGAGAGAAGCTGCGAAATATTTTCAGTTTAGATTGACGCCTCCGTGATTATTGCTTTTAAGATAGAAAATTATAGTGAAGGTTTCAGTTAAGAATAAGACCCCGTGTACCCAAGATCGTTGGAATAGAAGACAATTTTTTAGACCGTAATTCTTGATATAGCTAGTAATCAAGACCCGGGAACATTGGTAAGCAATAACTTATTTTGTGATTTTTGCTCTGATTCAAAGAGAAACTTATCGCCAGTTTTTACCTTTCTTTTTGGTTCTTTTTGGAGCCACGTGCTCGTTTCCGAAATGAGGTTGGTTGATTATTTTTGAAAATGACTTCCTTCTAAATTCCTAACTTTAACTATGAAGTTATTATGTAACTGAATGAAAAGTAGAGTATGACGATTATTAGAGAGCCAAACATGGAATCAAATCAGCAATGTATAGCCGGGTTGAAAAGAGATTGGGCACGAAAGCCTGGAACATTTCGCTCAAGATGGCCACCGACGAAATCCCTGTTGTGGACTTCAGTGCTTTGAGTCTAGAAAACAAAGATCCTTTCAGCAAAATAAGTAAAGGCATTGAAGAGCTTGCTGATCAAGTTTATCAAGCGTTTAGTACAATTGGATTTGTTTATCTAAAAAACCATGGTATTCCCCAAGAAGTGGTAAGCGAATTCAGCTTTTTACGAGGGTGCAAAATAGATGTCGTCACGAATCAAACTTAACCACACGAAAAAAAATTTACGTCTTTACGCTACTTTACGATGTGGACAAATTGCGCCAAGGGGAAATACGTTATATCACCCATCAGTGCATATGAGATTGAGGTTGATTATTTTTTAAAACGACTTCCTTCTAAATTCCTAACTTTAACTATGAAGTTGTTACGTAGCTAAATGAAAAGTAGACCATGACCTCTATTAGACAACCAAACATGGAAAACTCGGTTGAAAAGAGATTGGGCACGAAAGCCTGGAACATTTCGCTTAAATATA